TTCTTTTGTTCTTTCTTCTTCCATCCTCCCTCCCTTTTCTTTTTCTCCTTTCCTTCTTCCTCTTCTTCTCTCCTTTCTCCCTCTTTCTTTCTTCCTATTCTACCTTCATTCTTCCTTCCTCCCCCATCTTTCTCTCCCCCTTTCTTCATTCCTTTTATCCTTTTTCTTACTTCTTTCGTTCTTTTTCTTTTCTTTCCCCCTTCCTTTTTATTTCCTCCCCCACCTCTTTCTTTCTTCCTTTCCTCCTTCCTTTTTTATTTCCTTTCCCACCTCTTTCTCTCTTTCTTCCTTCCCTTCTTTCTTTTTCTTCCTTTCTTTCTTTCTTTCTCTGTTTTCTTATTATATTAATCTTAGCATCCTTAACATAAACCAATATTTCTGGCTAAATAGAAGTCAAATGCAGTGAAATAAGAAAGAGAGAAATAGATGGATGAATGGACAAACAGACAGACAGATAATATGAAATTGACTGTTGTTACTTTATCTTTGATTTTGAAGGAACCTTAAGTAATATTCTCTAGTTTATCCTCAAAATCCCTGGTCAATGTGATTGATAGGTAGCCTACTTGTTTGTGCCTGCCCATTTGCTGTTTATTGCCTTGGAAATTAGTCTAGTCCAAGGTAAGCAAACTGTGGCCTGCAGTCCAAAATTAACCTGTTGCCTGTTTTTGCCAATAAAATCCTTTAGGAACACATTCACACCCAATCATTTACATACTGTCTGTGGCTGCTCTGAGCTACAGTGACAGGGTTGACAGTCGGCAACAGAAACCATATGACCTGCTAAGAAGAAAATACTTAATTGAACTTTTACAGAAAAAGCTCACTGACTTCTGATCTCGCCCACTGTTAGAGAAGTTTTAGTCTTGTAAGTTGTTCTTAGTGAGGAGCTGGAATCAATCTTTTATCAGTTTTCTGTCATTAGTCTTAATTATGAGTGCCATGTAAAATGAAACTGCAATTTTCCACTTCAAATGCATAAAGACCTAGCTAGTGACCCCACATTGGGCTTTGTTGCATGTAATACCTACAGTTCCTTTGGTCTTTCCTCATTCAGCTGGGTTGCTAGACTTTTCAATGTCCTGTTCTCATTCATTTTCCTGTAAATTCCCGGGAAAATTTCTTTTCCCCAACATTCACAGAATATTTGTTTACCACTACACCTCTATGGCCTTAAACACTATCTGATCCAAGTGCAGTAAGTATTATTGATTAAATACAAGATTCGTGTTGAAATGTTAATATTTTAATGCATATTCCTTTATTCTTTTATCATGCATTAAATTGTTTATATATTGCCACACTATATAATATATGCTTTATACTATATGCTTTTTATCCTGACTTCTGCAGCAGTATCATGTCATAGTCTTTATATCATAATTATTTATCCACATGAAATTCACTGTCTTAACATGTAAAAGAGAAATAATAATACCCACTTGAGATATATACACAGGTTCAAGCTAAAAGACAGCTAGATTTCCCTTAAATCCACTCAACATGTTTGATGGGAAGGGCAGCTATTATAGTCGTCACATGTAAAAGCTATCAGAACAATTCCCAGCATATGTAGGTATACGTATAAGCATAACATGATGTGTAGAAATGTAATTTTACTTTTCCAATTGTAGGTAAGTGTCTCTTTAAAAATATGGTATCTAAAATTAAACACTAACACCTAAAATATGAGCTGGCCAGATTTGCATCCTTTGATTCGTTCGTACACTTCATGCTTTGAATGGAGCCTGAGATTGCATTCACATCTGCATTCACATCTGCATTCCCATCTGCATTCACATCTGCATTCCCATCTGCATTCACATCTGCATTCGCATCTGCATTCGCATCTGCATTCGCATCTGCATTCACATCTGCATTCACATTCTCTCTCTCTGTCTCATGACCTTTCTCACATTCCTCTCTCTTTCTCCTGTTTAAACAGCCATGCTATTCTGATAATTCCTTTTTCATGTAGCCATGTTATTCAGTTAGTTATTCTTTGTCACAGAAGCAGCAGTTAAATGTGGTCGTTACTAAATCCATATTATACTTTTTAATTTATATCTTTTACATTTCATTTTCTTAGTTTTATTCTATTAAGTTTTCTTGAATCTATATTTTTTATACAATGCTTATCAATCTTTCCTATCTTTGTATCACTCAAAAAGGTGCTAAACTTGTCATGTGTCATTCAAATGTTGGCAAAATGTTCAAAAAGGGCCAGAGCCAATTCCTGAGAATTCCACTTGAGGTCTAAATTGAAATCTATTAACGAACACAGATTCTATAAGCTAATAACATAATATAATGAAAAAGCAAGTTAAATACTAATGCTCCAAGGTATTTGCATCAAGTTCCTTTATTTATTTCTGTTACTTATAGATCATCTGTTCAATAATGTGTCCTAAAGTTTTGGCATTATTTACTGCCTAAATACAGACTAAATTTGGCAGTTTGACACATAACATTTCACCCTTTTAAAAAAAATCCTATAATAGATTACTGGAGAAGTGTGACCCCAGTAAATTAGTAATTGTCCCACGGTCACCAGGCTGGAGAGGATGAGAGGAAGAGATGTGACTAATCAAAGTCTTTGCCTTTCATCACTAGACTGCCCTGTCATCAAATTTACCAGAGTCTGAGCATCCATTTAAAGTGCTTAAAACAGGGGCTGTAAACTTTTTCTGTATGGGCTATGTAGTAAATATTTCTACTTAGCAGACCATAGAGAGTATTGCAATTAGTCATAGCATAGAAGTAGCCATGGAAAATTTGTTGACAAGTGTCTGGGGCTTAGTTGGAATAAAACTTTATTTATAAAAACAGGCAAAGAACTGGATTTGGCCCTTGGGCTACAGTTTGCTGACTTTTATCTAGATGGCATGTTCCTATTTCTTTGCTCATTGAGGCAAAAAAAGTTTTGAGAAACTCTTTAGTCATACAATACAAGAAAATATTAAACTTGTTATTTGTTTTCAAAAAGGAGATAAATCGATCTTTATTTTAGTTATAAACCAACATTGGTGCTCTCAATTTATCTCTGTATCTTATGGTCAAATTTCAGGGAAAGAATGTGAAGTCCCTGAAGGTTGAGCAGGATTTCCAGGAAGCAGTGCCATCCAGTGTGTCTGTGTTCACCTGTTCTCAGTCAGCCACAATGCATTACAGTTTATCTGGACTGCTTAAATGGATGAACAGGTTTTGTTCTCCGGTTTAACTAGCCCTCACAAAGTAGAGAAATGGCTTAATATATTCCCGAATAGAAGTTACAGATTAAAAATAACACTAATAATGAAAACATAAGCAAACAACAAGGAAGTGGCCAAACTGGCCCTTCTTCATATATACAAGATCTTTGTCAACCACACTAAGCAGTAAAGAAATAATCTACATCATATCAAACAACAAATGCAGATTTCTTAATGTAAGGTATATTTTCTTTGAAATAGTGATGATAGAAGATGTAGATATTTTTTAAATGCATATTAAATAAATATACATGTATTGAGGCTTTTTCTCCCATCTAATGTAAAGAGGATTAATCAAAGCCAGATGTAGACTATCTCTTCTTCTGTTCTCTGCTCATTTTACATATATATACTTAGAATCAAAATCTCATCCTTCTTCAATGCTTAATATTATACTTTGTATTAATAGGTGGTAACCAGCCTCCAGGATGTCCCAAAAGTCCCCCTCCTGGTATTCACACTCCCATTTAAACCCCGCTTGTGGTGTACCAGGTTTGGACTGAAAGACTGATAGAATACAGCAGAAATGATGGTATATTACTTCTGAGGTTAACTCATAAAAGATACTGTGGCCTCCACTTGGGTCTGTCTGCCTTTCTTTCTTTGTCTCTGTCCTCCTCGATTGCTTGTTCTGGGGGTAGTTAGCTGCCATGTCATGAGGACACTTCTGCAGCTTTAACGAGAGTCCCATGCAGTAAGGAACTAAGGCCACCTGTTCACAGCCATGTGAGTGACCCTTCTTGGAAACAGACCTTCCTGCCCAGCCTAACCTGGCTGACACACTGACTGTAAACTCACATGAGACCCTAAACCAGAGCCGCCCAGCTAAGCTGCTCCCAAATTCCTGACCCACCCAAGCTGTGAAATAGTAAGTGATTATTATTTTAAGCCACTAGGCTTTAGAATAATTTGTTATGCATTATAGGTGACTCATAACGGATAAACTAAACTACAAAATAAACTACAAACTATTGCCTATCTCCTCAATATTTTACCAAATATATGCCTCTTATCCAAAATGAGAATCCAGTCCTTTATTTAACTATATACTGAAAATGTCTTTTATCCCATGCTTCACCAAACTAAATTTGTAAATTATCCCATAAAATTCCTTCTTACATTTCAAAGCATTTTTTTTAACTGTTTCATCACTTCATCACTTCCACGAAGCTATGTTTGTGGTTTTTCTTTGGCTCTCTTCTGCAGATGTACTCACCATACTTCTAATTTTTTTCATTTTGCTCAATGGATTGAAATGTAAGCATCCTAGGGGCAATTAAAGTTCACTTCTCAGACTGCCCAATGCTGAGCATCAGCATTCAGTGACAGAATTTTATAACTAAAAAGGGTGTTAGTTAGAACTCCCAATATTTGAGGTTCAGAGAGAGTAAGCAACTTCCCACAGCCCACATAGTGACCGGCCTTCCTAAGAGTCCAGGAATCCTATTTCTTCACCTAGTCATATCACTACATTTCCACAGTAAAACAACACAGGATGCTGTTGCAATCGTTAATAGGCTGTGGAGCCAGACGGAAAAGGGCTGTATCTAAGTCCATGTTCTCCATGGAATCCTTTAAGTCTCATCACAACTCAATTCGTGTTTATTATTTTTATCATGCCAAATATTCCATTTATATGCAATAAGAACCAGGTTTTAGAAAAAGAAAATAAAGAAAACCAAGACTGGAGGAAGTTACAGTCATGATTTATTTTGAGACCCATGTTTTAAACAATGTTTCTCTTTCCAGATTTCTGGACAATTTTGTTAACGAGAACACTCCACCTGCCGGGTTTTCCCTTGATCCTGGCTATGATTATGGCTAATGATTCCCAGCTGTTCCCTTTGTGGTGCATTTGCTCTTTATGTGAATTTGGGGCCTCAGAGATAGAACGCTGAAGGTATGGACATGTATATATGAATGTATTTCAAATATAAATATCTAAATGTATACATATAAATATCTATTTTATATTTATATTTTATATTTATATAAAATAGATATTTATATGTATACAATTCGGATTTCCATAGAAAGCTATGTATCTCAGCTGGTGGGACAAAACACTTACTGAGGAGAGTGGATATCCATATGGAATACTGCTTTATTCATTTCTCCTTGTTTATAGTCATTCTTTGATCAGGTTCCATCCAAATTTTTTACTCAGAGAATTCTATCAGGATGGAGAACTTTTTTGCAAAAATCTCAGTTGAGTTTAGGGGCAAAGTGGAGTGGATTAGTTTGAAGGTACCATTTAAAAATTAGGGACAGATATTCTAATACTACCTATACAATGCATTATGAACAGTAGGCACGTAGGAAATATGTGTTGAAGAATAAAGAGAACTAATGAATCCATTATAACCTGTGAACCCACAGCAAGAGAGGAATTTTGTCCTCAATACTCTGCATTAACAATTTTCAAACATTTTTTCTTCCATGATAAAAATGTCATTTTCACATGGCAGATAACATATATAGGTATAATCAGAATTTTTTGAAAATTTTTGTGATTACACAACATACTTTAAGATTCATAACTATCAATAAAATCCGCTCCCAAGAGTACAGGATTGGTTAAGCAGATGACAGTGTTCGTGCCGCATCCCTGTCATGTCCATTTCCACTCTCCCTCACAAGAATATATATGGAAATGAAAATGGATCTTGATATTATTTTAGGAAAACTTTAAGTTTGTTCTAATTTGAATAAAAAGCATCGTTTATACTCTTTCGTGCTTAAACATTTGTAGTTGAAAGTTACACGTCTTCACAGCTGTTGATGACATGAGTGTAGATTTATACCTTTGGTGAGAACAATATATTTACATGACCTATTGACCTTTAAAGAAATGGAGGTGAAGGTGAATTAATACATTGAAATATATCAGTCTGGGGATTTGAAAATGGGTAATAATTTAAGTAAGTATCTGGGTCTTTACTTACCTGAAGAACTGGTTGAGACTAGCACCATAGAGTGAATAAGGAATAAGTTTTAGATTCAGAGAGAACTGGGTTCAAATATTAAATATGTGCTCTGTCATGCAGTAGTTATCTGAAGTTGAACAAGTTACTTAAATTCTCTATGCTTCAGTATAGGTGGAAATATTACTTTGTTAGAAACATTACATTAAATAAATAGAGCCCACTGCAGTTTTTCATGCATGGTAATCACCTATATATATACTATTTATCTTCCTGCAAATCATTCTTCTCCCATATGTTTGGCTATTATTTCTGCTGCAGGAGATAAGAATATGACACCCCCAAAATATAACTGTAAGAGACAAAAATATACCATCTTAAATATGGCTCTTTTGCATAAGGATTATTTTGAGAAACAGCAGACACAGGAAAAGCTCTAAAAACAGTATTAGTTACCCTTTTGTAAGGGAAACTTACATTTATAATAAAAATCTCCATTTGTAAAAGTATCTACCACTCTGTGCAAGGAAAAAGATGATGAAATCACAAAAGACTCTTATCAATGGAGAAGGCACCAAAAGCTTTATACTAAACCTTACTCTTATTTTCCCATTTACCTATCCATAACCTGCCTCCTCACACCCTCTCATTGTTGTAGTTGAAGATGCTATGTAAGTTCAAGTTGGGTATCTCCCATGGATGTATGTGACATGCGTGTTAATCGACTTCTGTTTGGTTTTCTCTTGTTAGTCTGTCTTTTGTTACAGGGACCCCAATGGAGAACTTAGAAAGGTTGAGAGAACTGGAGCTCATAAAACAAACAATACCCAAAAACATGGTGCTTTGGTATGCTGAGTACTTTGAACTAAAGGACACTGGAAGGGCCTTGGAAGCAGCCTCAGAACAAAGGTCACTCTGGTTTCCTCCTGCCCTCTGCCTCTCACCCATCAGTCTTCCCTAAAGCAAGCCATAAAAACTAGAATTCCTCTTCTCCAAGGTGGGTCATAGAAACTGGAACACCTCTTCCCCAAAGCCCATCATATAAACCAGAATTATTGCTTTAACCTTCCCCACCTTTCTGGCTAGGAGTTGGCCATAAAGAAATTCTCTAACCTACGCTTGTCCTATAGCCTAAGATTATAAGACTCTTTCCCAGAGGGGTTGTATCCTATACCTGGAAGGAAGGAATGCCATGCTAAGAGGCCAAGAAAAATCTGAACAGACAGGCCTTGCTGAGTTTCCCCGCTTCAGTCTGTTAGATCATTCCCTCTTTGTCCAGTTGTATTTCCATATAGCTCTCCACTCTTCATTGAGTCTAAGCATAAAAATGAAGTTTTCCCTTGGGTCTTTGGGTCTTCATTCTGAAGGTTCCTGTGTCACATGAAACTCTGATTAAGCAAGGCATGCCTTTCTCCTGTTACTCTGACTTTTGTCATAGAATTATCAGCTGTAACTCTTATGGCTAATGGAAGGTATCACAGCCTTTACACTCCTATAAAAGAAAACGATTTTATTTTTTCCTTCTTTACACTGCTCAGTGCCAATCGTATCCTGTGTGTGTGTGTGTGTGTGTGTGTGTGTGTGTGTGTGTGCTTTCCCAAATATCACAGGAGTTGGAAGATTTAGAACTGCTTAACTGAGACTCTCTTACAGCTAGAATTCTGGATGAAATTTGCTTCTGCCAATGAGATGTACTGGCAAGAAATTTGGAAGGTGGGACAATGATAAAGCATTCTTTCCCCTACAACAGAAATGCTGGACATCCTGTTTCAGGAATGTGAACGGTTGCGCTCTGCTGTACTCCACTGCCTGTGGCCAGCTTTGGGACTGCAGGACAGCTGTAATTTGGCAGTAGTTTCATGAAGCTTCCTGATCTCTGGGTGGTAGCAAAAGCTTCAAGATCTTTGCACCACAGCAGTATGAGCAAAAATAAAAATACAAATAAACGCTGAAACCCTGACTTTTGCTGTTCCATCTTTTCCGATAATTTTGTTAGCATTCAATGGAGTTCAAGACGTACTACCCCAAAATATGGTACCTTGTTTTTGGAGAAAATAGCAGATTCAGAAAGGATACTCTCACTTTCCCCTCATTCTTCTCCCCTGAACAGGCCATATAACCTAAACATTTTCTGACCTTCCCCTGAAGCAGATCATAAGATCCTCACTTAAGAGGTGCTCTCCCAGTACCCAGAAGAAAGAAACATCTTTATTTCTAAAGAAACATGGACACAGAAACGGATCTGAACAAATAGGCCTTGCTAAGTTCTCCCAAGTTTGTGACCATTAGATTGTACTTTTTTATCCAATCCTACTTCTCCACAACTACATCTGCTTTGCCACGTCATCAAAACTTGCATAAGAAATACACAAGCTTATCAGTTTCTTTGGATCTTCGCTTCCTTATGAAAGTCCTCGTGTCCCATAACACTTATTAAGTAAATGTATATGCTTTTCTCTTGTTAATCTGTCTGTCAGTTTTCCTTGTAGATGTAGCCAACACCCCTAAGAGGTTCAAGCAAAACCTTTTCCTCCCCTACACACTTAATTCCTATATTAAATCACTCTGTACTTGAAACAGCTAGGGGATTTTCCATACTGAACCTTGAGTAATCTACCATGATGTGTTCCAGGCATGTTCTAGACACTGGGAATTAAAGAAGAAAAAGATTTTCTTTCTGATCTCAACAATGTCAAATCCTAGGGAATAGACAACTGCCATCATGAGAAAAATCAGCATTTTTTTCACTGTTCACAAGGAAAGCTATCTCTGGAGAATATTATATTTCACACTAAGTTAATAACTTTCATACAAATTCTTTACTTTTACATTTTCTCAGAAGTAATTGGCCTATCTCCTATCTCCTTTTGAGTAGTAGTAGGCATTGATTATACTTGTAGACAGAGCTAACAATTTGAATGTTCTACCACTTAAGATTCTTATGACTTGCATCCTCTACTGCAATCGAAGTGTTAAAGCTAGAGCACACTCTGAACTTGGATCAACCCGATTGGGGCCAGAAGTATAATGTAATCATTGTATTGAGAGCATTCACGATAACATTTCCTGGGTATTTTAATGACTTCCAATTAAGTTAAAAAACCCAAATCTAATGATTAAACATTAGTGTAATATGAACAACTGCAACTATTTATAAATTAAATAAGCACTTTAGGTCTCTTTCCTTCCTTTTCTTCTTATTTTTCTCCCCTCATCCTCCTCATCTCCTTCACCCCTGCCCCTTTCACTTCACCTTCTTTTCTTTTTATACATTGAAAAGACAGGGATTTAAAAATCTATATCCCTTAAAGCTCTGACATTCTGTTCCTCTATTTAAGAAAAAACCTGCTCTTGTTCTGCAGAGATTTTGCCCAAAATAATCTTTATAGTTCCGCAAATGAATAATTCTCTCATGTACTATATATGTATACTTTATTACTCATTATATGTTTATTCTGTTTCCGTCCTATGAATTTGCATTGTATTAACCCTACGAGCAGCCATTTATAAAGTAATTCATTTGTCTTAGATTTCTTTAAGAGTGAACAAAATTGATAACCTGAGCCTAGATGGCTTAGATAAGGTATAATGAATAGATTTCATCTGAATCCAGAGTAAAAATTGCTTGGAGTGCTAGGTTGAGAATTTGTTTCAGTCAGTCTGAGGTCAACGAAGAAAAGTAACATTCTCATTTAAGGATGACTGCTGAAACTATGGATTGTGGAATAAGAAAGTAGTCGCATATATGCCATATATTTGGCATCCTTAGTCTGAAATTCATGTATTTGGTCATCCACCCTTAGAAGGCTTTGCCTTTGGACCACAAATGGTGATGGGATGCAGGTGTGCAGTTGTTGCAAGCTCCCAGATGCTACTAACACTGCTGATCTGCAGAGCACACTTGGAATAGGAAGATAAGGAACACTTTAATAAAAATAAATAGAAAGTTTAC